AGAAGAAATGTTGCAATTTCCATTTGTACGTTATTATTATTATTATTATTATTATTATTATTATTATTATTATTATTATTATTATTATTATTATTAAATTCGTGTTCCAGGTAGTTTGTGGTCCTTTTCTCCGAGTCCTATGTTGCCGTTCGGAACACAATCTTTGGTCGGACCAGTTTCCAGGAAGTGCTGCTGTCATTTGGTTTCTTGCAGTGTCCTTGTTAGTGTGCACCAAATGTTAAAAAATGAACTGAATTTTCTCGAAAATTTATATATTTCAAACAACTGCTGTTTCTGAAACCATTTTAGAGCATAATGTTAAGGGCCGGAACGGCACTAACATGGTAAGTCTTCAAGTGCATCAATAATGAATGTTTTACTATGAAATAGGGCGTAAGGTGCACTTTTGGAAATAGTGACTAACAAATGAAATAAAGGTGTCTCTGGAGTTCTAGTAAGTGGCACGTTGTGTCTGTGTTCATTGAGATACTTACGGTCGGTGGCGAGGTGATGACAAATAATAATACACTGTATTGATAAACCTCACTGAGGGAGAGAAGCGATTAATCGCACACCATGATAAAGACCAGTTAATCCTTGTTCTCAGACTGGAAACCGTGGAGCTTATTGGTGATTGTGTATATTATCATTGCTTTAATGACGCGTCGCTTGAATTTTAGACGAGAATGATCTCTCGATTTTGAATGTGAACTGATGCAGCCATAGGCCGTGGATTGTTAATTGAGTTCATTAGCCTTTACGGGAAACTTCAGACCCTGTAGACGAGTGTGGCACAGTGCCTATATAGTGCCTATATGTGATTCCGAAGAATTAGTTTAAGTCTTTACTAGAAAACATGGGGCTTTGCTTATTGATTAAGTCCTTGCTTTGTCATTGTCGTCACGGCGTTTAAATGTACGTTAACAAAGGTTAAAACGAAGACATTTTCTTGTTTTCCCATACGACTGGATAACACGGGAAGGAGTATTTACATCGCATATTGTAACGCGGCTACCGAACTTATAAGATGTGGCGGACAATTTCTACTCGAAGACCTATCAGCACTGTTGTACAACAACTGCGAAAGGTTACTGAAGTAACGCAATCTGGATTTACAAACAGTACTTTGGAGTGGTGCTTATGTGGCTTGGTTATTTAAAACTACGATACAGTACTGTATGAGACCAAGGTGAAGATATTAGCACTGCTGGACGCAAAAATGTACTCTAAAATATTATTTACTATGTAATAAATAACTGTTGGAAATGTGATCAGAATGTAGACATTCGTGTATTCTTTATGGTCTGTAAAGCAACTTTGTCCTGCTGTATTACGACTTTGAATTGTTTATTTGATAATTTACTTGTGATTATTGAACTGTTTCTTGGCAAGTGATCAGACATTTGGGCTTTGAACCCGTATACGGTTATGAGGGTTATTTTATATAATAAATCCAGAAGCTTCAATGCCAATATAGCCAGCAGCCATATCACCCTGCAACTCGCAACTGGCAACCCACTGAAGCTCAGCAGGTGTGAGCCTGGTCAGTACCTGGATGGGAGACCTCCTGGGAAAAACTAAGGTTGCTGCTGGAAGAGGTGTTAGTGGGGCCAGCCGGGGGCGCTCACCCTGCGGTCCATGTGGGTCCTAATGCCCCAGTATAGTGACGGGGACACTATACTGTAAACATGTGCCGTCCTTCGGATGAGACGTAAAACCGAGGTTTTACCGTAAAACCGAGGTTGTGGTCATTAAAAATCCCAGGCCGTTTCTCGAAAAGAGTAGGGGTGTAACCAATCATGGCCTCCTAATAATCCCCCTCTATGAATTGGCTACATTACTCTGCTCTCCTCCCCACTGATAGCTGATGTGTGGTGAGCGTTCTGGCGCACTATGGCTGCCGTCGCATCATCCAGATGGGGCTGCACATTGGTGGAGGGGAGTCCCCATGATCTGTAAAGCGCTTTGAGTGGAGTGTCTAGAAAAGCGCTATATAAGTGTAAGCAATTATTTTTAATATATAATTCAAATTCAGTAACATGGACTACAGATCAATACTTGGCTTTATGCAGTTTACTGAATTCTGCAGCTCACTACTTGGCTGCATTAATGTAACATAGGCAGAATTATTGCTAGTGTCTTATCAAGGTTGTATGTATGTTGTTTTGCGAAAGGGTAACAATTTTGGTCAAAAGAGTGTGACTAATTGCTTAAATAATGTCCAGATGTATTTAATTATATCTCATGCCCATTGAATGAATGAAATTGCATTTATTGAAATATACATGCATGGCCTTTCTCTACGACATTCTCTCTGTTTTTTTCATTAATCCCACCACTATTCACGTTCACTGTGTTTGATTAGCTTATGCAGACATTCATCCTCAGTGCTTTACCAGATTGCTGCAGTTGGCTCTTGACAAAAGGAGATTGCTGGAGAAGTGATAAAGATTGGAGATAAATGAGCTAATTTAGCCTGTCAGAAAATTCAGAAATGGATATGATGAAACGATCCGTGCAGGAGCATGTAGCCCATGTATTTATACGTTTTTGTTTTGCAGCTTGGCCTGCAGGAAATTGGTCACCACCAGCCCGGGCGTGAGGGTCCCCTTGCAGACACTGAACCCGCTGTCCCGAGCCATCCACCACAGGGGTTCCCCTGGCACCAGCCTTCACAGAGCCCCCCCGCGTTCTGCAGCCCGGCACTTCAGCTCCCTGTCCCGCCCGCCCCTGCGGCCCGCACGGCCCCTGCCCCGAGGCCCTGGGTTCCAGCCCCGCCGCAGCTTCTGGGTAGCCAGGCTCGCCACCAGGCTGCTGCGGCTCCGCTACCTTTTGCTGGGGTCAGCGGTTGGAGGAGGCTACACTGCCAAAAAGGTGCGGCCCCGAAACCACGTATACCATCCGATTCTCTCCCGAACAAGAAAACCACACGGGTTACTTGCTCGCGTTTGTGTGTTGGTCTCCTGTTCTTTTGCTCATGTTCCAGTGGCAGCCCACAAATTGCTCATCCTTGATCGTTTCCTCTCTTGGTATTGTAGTACAAACCCTAAGTATAAACCATGATCGTTTGTCCTACTGGTATTGAGGAACAAAGCCTAATTTATTGAGGATCTTTCATCATAGAGAACAAAATATTTAACAAATTTGTTTTTGTTAATTGGAGCTCTTTGTGACAAATAATATAACTAACAACACGTTGTGTGTCTGAACTAGTATTACTAACCAGAACAGACTGAGAACAGAGAGAGACTTCTGGAATATCAAAAGACAGAAAAGGTCCGCTTTTCTCTTTCCATAAGAAAATGCACATCCAAGAAAGGTGCTCACTCCTAGACTTTGCACGTCAGGGTTTCTCCATATGGCCACCAACTGACAGAGTTCCTGTAAGCGCACTGTAGCGCCAGCAGCATGCCTAATGATGAACAGCTCCTGTGAGTGGTCATGTCTGCATGTTCAAATTCTGTGTGCAGTTCAGGAGATGTTGTTGTGAGCAATAAGAAAAAGTACAAAATTAAAAACTGGGTCGATATAAAATGGAAGCTGCACAAATTGTTAAAAAGTCCACCATCTAACCGGACGTCATAAATATTGTCCAGTTTCAATTTCAATGTCCTGGGCAGGGTCATTTTGGATGTTCTTCTCCGGTCTCATTTCTGGGTGAGCGTGGCTGAAGAACGGTGTCAGTGAGGGACCGCTGCAGCCATGCTCACAGTTGTAGTGCCTTATTCCTGTGAGGAATTGAACTGCTGCTGGTGCAGCTTATTTGTGTAAAAATGACAAGCATGCAGTCAGACTGGATGACTTATAATACAACGTTTAGGCCTTGGAACCTTTTTCAGGTGAAGAAGGCTCCACGGCCGAGAAGTTGTGTTTTCTTTCTTCTTTTTTTCAGCACGGAATAAACCTATTACTTGTTCCTTTGCAGCCTACGCATGTTGACGCAGCTCCCCACCTGACTTATAATACTCTACAAATGTTTCAAATGCTGAAAATTAAAGCAAATTAAACACAGCTTAGTTTTCAAAATAAAGTAGTGATACCTTTATGAACATAATAAAATGCAATAATGGGTTACAGAAAAGTGTGGGTACCTGTTATGCAATTTACAATGTAAATTAAATTGTGTGCCTTATTTAATTTTATTATATTGATACAGCCCATACTTCTCATTATCTGCTGTTTTGTAGAAATATTCTTTATACCTTTTTGGATGTTTCCCTCTTTCAATATGAATGTACATTTCAGCATTCAAACTGAACTGTGTAGTGTAAATGTGAACATTTTATTTTAGATAGATAGATAATACTTTATTAATCCCGTAGGGAAATTTTAGTTCCATATAAAACTTCATCTAAAACCTTGAAAGAAATGATCATGCAATTTTGCCTTGTCTTCTGCAGACAGTGCCTCATTCATCCAACATGATGGCGCTGTTGCTCTTTCGTGCACTTAGTTATTGTTTGCTATCACTTGATGTCTTAAAGCTATGAAAACCTTTCTCTGAAATATTGTAGTTCACAAAAATCTGTTCAAAATGGTCTGGAGCCATAACATCTTTTAAGTTGTGAACAGATGCAACTTTGCATGACTCACCGGCCCCGATAGATAGTTGCAGTTATTCGTCCATTCCTCTTTAAACTCGCTGTGCATTTTTGTTTTTTTTGTAATGAACTACCAAAGCACATCTTGCTTTGTGGGATGGTGTTTCAGTCACAGATGAGATTTTTCATAGCAGAGGAGGTGTCAGAATGTGGTAGGAGAAAGGCTCTGATCTACTAGTTTCTTTCATTTTCACTTATCTCATCGCTCACTGCAAACACTCGATCAGAAAATCTGTGGCATGCGAGCAGATATTGATATTGCTACCAAAAAGTTTTGACAGCCACCTTCAATACGGTGTGGAAGACAAATGTGAAGTATTTGTGCATATCTGTATAAAGACATGCTCTACTGTATGTCTTTTTAAATGAGTTTAAATTGTTATTGTTGTCTTTCAGACTTTTGATCAGTGGAAGGATATGGTGCCTGATCTTAGTGAATATAAATGGATAATACCAGATTTCATTTGGGAACTTGATGAGCATATCGATTTTGGTAGGTATATTGTTTAATATTTTTAGGTTTGTATTCCTTCTTGTTTTGCCATAAGGTTTAGGAACATAAACCTATGGCAACATAAAGCTATACTTTAGAATTAATAAAAATCATGTAATTATTGTTGCCAGACATTCTCTTTCATACTACTGCTTATTCCATTCCTACACATAACAGGAGCATTACCACCATGTAGCCTGATCTGGTCATATCTATGAAGCTAACCAAGGCTGGGCCTAGGAAATACTGGGATAGGAAACCTCTAAGGAAATCCAGGTTTCTGCAGTTTGTGGTGTTAGTGGACTTCCTTCTGGTGCACAATTTTCAAACCAAAGCCACAGTTTGGTTGCAGGGTATACTGTGCCGTTAGAGATGCTGAGGTTTTAAATCAGTGTGCCGACAGCTCATGCTTAAAAAATCCCTTGGCGGTGTTATATGAGTAAATGTGTTAGCTCTGGTATCTTGGCTAAATTTTACTCTAATACTTTAAGTTAAAAATATGGTATCACAAAAATATATATATATATTTGAAATATATTAAAAGCTCTTTTAAATTCTCTAATATTTACCAGGAGAGCAGAATTCAGAATCAGAATGAAAGAATGAAATTAAATAGGTGTGCTAGTGTTCCTTTAAAAGAATTTGTAAAAGAACACAGTTACATTTATTTATATATATATACCTGAATAAAAACAACTTGAAGCTATTTTCAATGCTCTATGCTACTTTGCCATTCTTCGAAATTCCTAATGGCATCATAAACACATCTACTCTCAGCATCATACAATGGAAACTTAAGATAAATCCTGTAAAAATAAGTTTTCTTTTGTCAATTTACTTCTTTACATAATATTTTTAATTATAGAAAAAATCATCAGTGCCCTACCTGATGCAGAGGAACTCGCCAAACTGCTACCTGATTTTGAGAAGATTGGGGAGAACTTCAGTTTTCTGAAAGGTCTAGTTTCCAAAGGTTGGTGTCTCTAGCTTAATGTTTCTTGGTATGGTTCAGATTGTATAAGACAATGTCCGTGCTTTGCTTTCAAATGTTTAAACTGGTGTAGGATATGCCAGCCGGTTGTAAGAGATAGGTGGTGTATTCATTTCATTACTTCATTGCTTGATTAACAAAGGTACAAGTATTACAAACTTTCAATATAATGCTCTGCAGTTATTTAGTTTGAAGCTCTAAAAATATGATTTGGTTACTTTTGTACAATAATGCATGTTTGCTATCTTATCACTAGGTAATGTTATTGAAATAAACAGACACCAAATAAATATCGGCTTCATAAGTCTTTTCTTAAGATTCCCAGTTCCTTGAGCAGCGACAGATGTAACTGCTCTGCAATTGTGAAATAAAGTTCATCCACTAAAAAACATTCCTCTAAATTGAAGTAGGTTTTCGTTATGGGTTATTCTTTCACAATCCCTTCATACTGTAAATGTTTAGTTTTAATCTTGAAAAGGGTTTACGTTGTTAGCAGAGATTTGTTTATTTTCTTTAAATGCGCAGGAATTAGTGTAAGATAGAAAGATGCACAAGGTAAAATGGGGTTCATTTGAAACCCACCAAAAATTTAGATTTTAAATACTCTAGGCTAGAGCAGTAGTTTTGTTTAAAGCTGACTTCAAAGAAGTACAGTATTTAAGCAAGGTTTTACCAGTTTGCAGAATTTTACCCCATTGACATAGTAGGTATTTCAAATATGAAAAAATCCCATGATGGTAATGTAACGTTTATTAGGACTGAATAGGTCTACTGTATTCCATACACATCTGAACACACTTCTGATGACATACTGGAAGGCTTTTATCTAGTTAAAATAGTGTAAATGTTGTTATAAAGATTTGGCAACTGGGGGACTTGAATGGAGTCTATATTATTTTTTGCTTGTATCTTTTGATTTTTTTCCTCCTTTTTGCTAATTTTTCACAGGTATGAGTGTGGTTAGTGAAGTCAAAGGAGCTTCTGATCTGCATCTGTTGTTAGGTGTGTAAACTCCACTGTCTGCTCCCATTCCCTGATTCAGTCTGGAAGGTCACGTGGTCTGACTGACGTTTTGCTCGTTCTTGTATTTCACGAGCTTAGACTTGCAAATACTACTGTTGTTTTCCCACACGTGGCTGTGGAATCAGAGTAGTGGTTTGGTGGACATCTCAAAACATGTACGTCATCAGTAGCCTGTCATTTTCTTTTCGCTTGGTCAGTTGCTTGTTGATCTTCAAATTTAGCTTCTCAGCAGTAGAAAGTTGACCAAGAAATGTTTCTCATTTACTGCAGTCCTGAACAGTTGTGTCTTTGTTGCCTTTTTAGTTCTGAAGTTAATTTACACGCCTACAATTGCTTGTCAGTTTGTAAAGTATAAAATGTTATTGTCCTAGAGATATGTATCATAACTACTTTGAGAATACAGTCCTGTGTGCCAGTTTTGGCTATATGTTCTTAACCCACTAATGAGTAATGTAAGCCAATAAATATATCCATTTGTATTAAATTGGATGGAAAAACAGTTTATTTAAATTAATTTTCTCTTAAAGTGGATTTATAATTTCAGGATTTAAACAGCAACATGACCCTAAGCAGGTTTATAGCTGTAAATGTAAAACGTATACAGTTTATCTTCATGAACAAGATTTTGAGTCTGAGTCTGGTTATGTCAGTGGCCAGTAAGGACCTTTGCAAGATGAAAAGTAATTGAAAAACATTATATGTTTCAATTTGAAGCTGAGAATGCTGCACTCTTCTAATCGGAGTATACATGAAACAGACCAGTTATACTTTTGCTTTGAAGTGCACTTAACAACAGATAAAAGTATTGTTTACAGATATTTTTACAAGAATCGTTTTGCTGTGTTTATTTTTGTTTCACCTTTGTGCAGTGTTGCCAAGGTGACACAAAGCCTCTATTTTCAACTGAGATGCTGTTTGCCTCCTTTGACTTCCTTTCTTTCTTTTAATACCTTTGCTCTGTACCTTTTCTGATCTAATGAGAGGACTGGGCTCTTCACTTTCACTGTGTAATATAACAATACTGCTCAAAAGTTTGGAAAAACTTACCAAATTTGGAAAAGTCCCACCAAAACTGCTTTAGTTGGTGTCTCAATATGAATCAGTAGCAGGAGTATATGCAGTTACAGTATGTATCTCTTTAACAAAGATGACCCTTAATTGGCTTGCAATAATAAAGTCAGTGGATTTATGAGTTTTTTGATATGTCAAAGGCTATCTGTGCAGAGTATGAAACGTGTGGAAAGCGTTTTTTTCCCCTAAATAATAAGAAGCAAAAAATCTTAAGAATGACTTCTAGCAAATATCTTTTAAATATTGGTATTTATAGTGAATTAAGGATATAATTTCTGATAGTGAGGTCTGTTATGTAAGCCTATAATTTTCCTATTCTTTTGAGGATTACTCAGCCACTGCCTCTTCTAAGTAACATGAATGACATTTTGTTTTGCTTGAAATTAGCAAGCAAGGTGAAGGCACTCAGAGTGCATATTATGTAAGTTTGCCCTTTGGTATCAGTGAATCCTAAATGACCTCCACTGACATCTTGTATGTATGACTTACAGAATTATGACATAGTACCGTACTATATCTGTACTATATCGTAGTGCAGAAATCTCAACAAAGAACACCATTAATATTTCCCTGTAGGGGAAAACATAATACATTATAAAATGTAAAAACATACCTGCCAAAACTATGGTTCCTGGTTGAATTAGATAAGCCTGGAGAAAGAAATGTATTATGTGCTGTAGATTAAATGTACAATTTCTTGCAGTGACATCTTACAGCTGACATATTTTAGATTGAATTATGTAGTAGTGAATATGCCTTGAATCTGTACCCAGAAAGATTATCAGTATTAGGAATAGACTATTTTTCTACCTCGCTAATAACCACAAAGACAAAAATGTTTCTTCCAATTAATTAAAAACATCAACAAAAACAATATTCTGTCTTGAATTTTCCAAACTTTTAAGTATGATTGGGTTGTGGCTGCTTTATAATGTGTACTAATACGTATGGATTATTGTATATGGAAATTGGATATTGATACATATGGATGCCACATATGCTTTTAATATATTTTGCAGTGTAATAGCACTAATTTTTATTACTGATTCTACAATTAATCTAGAAAAATACATATACATACAGGAAAAATTAGAAAGAATTTTTCAATAAATTGTGTATTTTACTTTGTAAAGTGATGTAACTATGTGCAATACTTTAAATATACTGTACGTGTTTAAAAGAAAACATGCTGCTGTCCTTAACTGCATTTATTATCTTTTTGTTTATGATTCACATAGAATCATCAGGGGAATCTACATTCAGAACCACAGGAAACCAAGGATTTGACAGCAGTGATAAGCAGTATAAGAAGGCAAGTTCATAAGAAATTAAATTTATAATGAGAGGCATTAAAAACACAACAAATAATTGTTGGCGTCAGCAGCATTTGTTGTGTCTTTATTGTCTTTCACCATACAGGATACTATATGTTTACAAAGAACAACATATACATACATACATACAGTACTGTATATAGTCCTCGTTCTTACGAGATACCTGATGAGTCTTTCCATTGGTATATGTCAGTTTATATGTCAAGGAACTGAGGTTTTAAAATTGAAATTATCCTTTAAAAGATTGGTACTGAAGCTTTTCTTCATATTTCTTGTGCAAATGGTACATACTTTTACAGAGATGCTATAGGTTGGTGTAGAGTAGTTCGTCTTCATATCATATTATGTGTTTCATATCCATGATGATTCATTACATTTTCTGATGTTTCTGTGGTCACCCCTTTTCCAACAGACAAAGCCTAGAAAGAAAACATGCCGTTCGGCCCAAATTAGAAGTCATTTGAATCCTATTTCATGCTCAATCTAAAACTTCTGAAAGCAGCGGAATTGGACTGCTCTGAAATGTCTTGGGCAGTGTTTTTTTTAACCTCTATCTTAAGCTCAGCAATTCATCTTCCCATAGTAGAAAGCTGTAGCAATTACCCTGTTAGATAATTTATTATTTTCACAGTAAGTGCAGTGCACATGAAATATTTATTTGGTCCAGGGTAATTACAAATTTACTTTGCTTGGTTTTTGTTTAAAAATATGTTTCATAAATCGTCCCTTTAAAGAGAGGCTTAAAAGGACTTTTTTTTCTTGGATTTGTTTTTTTTTTTTTTTTTTTTTGGCCCCCAGCTCCTCAGGGTCAGTGTGAGGTTTCATTCAAAGCTTGGTTGATGATTCCTATTTCGTATATTGAGATTCACAGTTCTGAATTGAAAACGTAATTTAGTTTTGCATACCCTTTTATAGACCTCTACTTTTCCTTCTCTTCACTGGTTTTTGTTTTGTTCCAGCCTTGACGTGTTTCCCCCCTCACATTTTTTTTTATTTTATTTTGATTTTACTGTCTTCTTCCTCACCCCTTCCCTCCCTTCTCTCCTTTTGTAAACTCACGGCAGGGTCTGCTTGGGGAGCTCATTCTCATACAGCAGCAAATCCAGGAGCACGAGGAGGAGGCCCGCAGAGCCACAGGTTATAACACGAGCTCCTCGCAGCAGAAGCGAAAGGTGAAGGTTCCATACATTAAAAAAAACAGCTCAGAAAACAATCGATTAATTCACACTAACAGAAATTTTCTGGGCCACTCCTTGTGCTATGCGAGAAGCAGCAGAGCATTTTAGCCCTGGAAAATACATTTGACATGAAGGTGCCACTTCCTAAACAGCAAATTTAACAGTTTTTTGTCATGGATTCCCTCCACTTTTCACAGTGTGTGAAGTCTCTGTGAAGCAAGTGGGCATGAGGTCCAGTATCCTTTGTTAGCGCCGATTGTTCTGAATGCAGCATTGAGTTCTAATAGAATATTCTGCTGGGCTGTCTTGAAGTTACATCATAGTAATGCTCATCCCTGTCATCGCCTTTTCACTCTGTTCACTACGAAAAGCTGACTTCCTAAATTGGACAGTGGTACTGCAGAGTCATTGATTAGCCTGATCAATTCTAGCTTGATTATTGATTGAATATTAGTCCATCCATATGAGTCCTAGTACATGAGCTTTGCCTTATGTATCTGGAGGTCTGTTGTGAAAACGGAGATTGTACAATACAGGTGGTGGACTGAATATATATTTAACATTGAAATTAATACTTTTATTTGTTCCTTCAATGGGTATCTCAAGTTTGTTATATTGTTTTTGAAGAATTCAGTGATATTAAATGGAATGAAAAAAGGTAATTATCTTAGATTGTTGAAAATTCTGAAAGTCATACTGCCAGCTTTTATTTTTTTCAGTAAATTATTGGAGTTTTCTGTATCAATACACAGCAACTTAACATTTCCCTCTAGGCAATAATTTCTTGAAGTTTTTATCTCTATGATGTACTGTACTAATAATAAAATTATTGTATTATTAAAAGAGGTTTTGCACATTATAAGGCTCCCTTTCCCCAAAATACTGTTAGTGTGAATGAGTCAATAGGTGGAACCAAAATCTTGGTGATGGTTTGCTTGAGGTGTATGTTTGAAATAATCAGGTAGCATGACTTTCCATCAATTGACTGACATGCTTGGAAATCAGCTTAATAATTCCTTTACTATTGTATTCTAAATAGAAAATTAAAACTAACAATGCTTTCATACCAGTTAACTGATATATGGATATTTGAATTTCATTAAGAGGAATTCCTTCTCTCTACATTGAAAAACATCTTTCAAGCCTACTTAAAACTATTGGGATGTCTGGTTTTGATTTCAGAATTGCAAAGAACTACCTACCAAAACATTTCAATAATGACACTCCTTTAATTCTGGACCACGCTTAAGTTTAAAACCAAAAATATAAAATGATGACCCTATAGAGGAAAATTTGAGATGTGGCTGAATGAACTACTCTTTCCTTTCACTTTGTAAAAATATTGTGAGTTTTCAATCTGTTTTTTAGAAATCTTTTTTCAAATTAAATGTTGAGAAGGGCGTTGTGTACAGTAGTATCTCCAGATGTCCATATACAGTACAGTATTTGTTTTTCCCATGTTGTTGGCCATTCTCATTTGTTTGTCAAGTCATTATTTCCTCTTTACACTAGGCCCTGTGTCTCTCTTGACGTCTGCGACCTTTATCCAACCAATACTGGTTTGGAGTGCAAATAAAGATTTTCTACAATCTTTGTCCTTTTGTTTGTAATATGATAATGCCTCTCTCTTTTACAGGTATCTCTGTTTCTGGAAAGAAAGCATTATGTCATTGCCACTCACTGCAAGTGATTTGCTCTTACTTGTAAATTTCCTGAGACTGCTTAATATGCTTCTTGCATGTAATGAAAACATTTCTTTCCAAAGTGGTTTATAGGTCAAAGGGTGGGTAACAAAAACAGGGTTGGCAGCTGTGGAGATTTCTTTTAAAGTCATTTATCTGAGAGGAAACATTTTTGTCTGTTATATTTTAGGTATCTGACAAAGAGAAAGCAGATCAACTACAAGAGGAGCTTCTCAGAACTCAGGTATAGACTAATAAAAAAACAACTGAAGTCTTAGTAGTACATGAGAGAGTGGAATATAATTTAAGCATAACACTGCATATGGAATATAATTTCCTAAGGCACCCCAAGAGTGATACTGTGGGAGTATGAAACAAGCTACCTAGCCATATTATTCAACCTTTCCCTGGCTTCCTTCAAGAAACAGCTGGATGAGATCCTTGGATCAATTTGCCAGTACTTGCCAAATGAGCTTAAATGGGCCAATTGGCCTTCTCTTGTTTGTAGCTTTTCTTATACATTTATTGAAGGTTACTATACAGACACCACAGTAGGAATGTACCTCATCCTTGTACTGTGTTGCTTACATAACTGAGTTCCTTTTAAGGAGCCTCACTGTGGTTTTAATTCTTTGTAGGCATTAGAACTGATTCATTTGTGAAGCAGAATAAAACTAAAATATTGGCTTCTTCCAACTCCGAATATGACAATGAGGCAGTTCCTGCTGTTGAAAGTCTATTTCCATGGTGGTTTTCAGATGAAGTACCAGAGGATGCTCGAGCGCCTGGAGAAGGAAAACAAGGAGCTGAGGAAAGTGGTGCTGCAGAAAGACGACAAGGGCATTCACCAGAGGAAGGTCAAGGTAACGCTGTTCATGGGCGGGTGGCTATTACCAAAGCTTTAAAATAGCAGGTGACAGAAACAGCATTAACCCAGAAAGAAGGCAACAGAATTTTGTCTGGCTAGTACCGTTTCAGAGTTTTTCTTTTCTTAAAAGAGAAAGTGTTTTTCTTTTCTTTAATGGACATCCCCTCACATATATTTTCCTTGGTCTTGCACAGTGCTTCCTGCAAGAGTATGATCCATTAATGAGGTGCAGGAAATTTGAAGTACCCTTCCCGAAAGCAAAAGATAACATCCATGACCAAAGATATTCCCTGTGCCAAAAGTCCACAGTTACAGGTTTAAATTCTGCACCAGTAATTTCTGTATCCAGAAATCTGTTTCTCTGCTTGTTGTAGAAATCCTTGATTGACATGTACTCTGAGGTCTTGGACGTCCTTTCAGACTACGACTCCAACTATAACACCCAGGATCATCTGCCAAGGGTAAGGCTTGCCATGGCGAGGTGCGAAGACGTGAGTGAGTGCTCTTCTTCGCAGATCATGGGGGAGCTGTGAGAACAGCAGGCGCTGGTGTTCGCAAGATCAAGTGACTCATCACGCCAGGCTCTTCTGTCAGGGCCTGGAAGAGTTCCAGCATAAGCCTTTACGAAAAGCCACTTTGCAGCTTTTTTTATGTCTGGGGCCTATATCGAGAACACCCAAGCACTTAAATCACCATTCCTTCTGATGAGAATTTAAGCTTGGAAATGCTTTGTGTGTAGGGTCCTAGTTTTTGAATGAGTTTTCCAACGACGGGGCTGGCATTTTCTGTTTTTCTGGCTGCTTCGACACGTAAAATAAGAGCCACAGTAGTTCCGGTGATGTCTGAGCTCTTTATGTTTTGCATGCCGAAGGTTGTGGTAGTTGGCGATCAGAGTGCTGGGAAGACCAGTGTCCTAGAGATGATTGCCCAGGCCAGGATTTTCCCCCGAGGGTCTGGGGAGATGATGACTCGAGCCCCTGTCAAGGTAGGCAAAATGTTCTGTGCCCCGCTAAAAGGGTGGATGTTGCCTATTACTGGGGTAGTTTTTCAATGCCTGTGACTGTCCACTCTGTTATATTTCGACCATGTCTGATGGAGACTTGTAAAGACATTCTTAGGTACTAACGTCGGCTACCGGGCAATAGGTTTTTAATGTACCTTAATAGAAAAACATACTCTGATTTATTCATTGTATACTTTGCTTCTTTTTTCTTACATTTAAGGGAATTAACATGTCAAAAAAATTTTAGTCCCACTTTTTTAGGAGCGGCTTTGCCATTTTTCTTACCTTTCCCATTTTTCTTACCTGTATCGTGGTTGACTGTTTTCCCAGGTGACGCTGAGTGAGGGCCCTCACCACGTTGCCATGTTTAAAGACAGCACCCGCGAGTTTGACCTCAGCAAAGAAGAGGATGTAAGTTAAAGAAGAAACCTACAGTATGTGATACATTGTACTTGCACTGTACTGGAATCAGAGAGCATCAAAGGAGACCTTTCAGAAATGTAAATGTATAAAGAAAATGACAAAGTTTTTGTTTCAGAATATAAAGAGCTGTGAGAGTGGCTTCAGTTTACCTTATTAGATGTAATTCAGTTAAGAACATCTTTCTTCCAGTGGCCTCAAAGTTTTAAGTTTGATTTATGCCCTTCCTTTTAAAAGGTACGTTTTACTTCCTGTTTCTTCCACCCTCAGCTTGCGGCCTTAAGACATGAAATTGAAATCAGAATGCGGAAGAGTGTCAAAGAAGGACAAACAGTCAGTCCAGAGGTAAGACCAGGGAGTGCATGAGATTTCTACATTTACTCTAGAGGACCAGATAAAGTACCGTGGCTCATTCACTTTTAAAATCTTCTCTTTTATAATATATAATACTGGAAACCAATGAATGGGCAATAGATGGAATTAAATGGACTGTAAAACCATGCATGCTTTCTCAAAGATTAAAAACAGTTTCTACTAATAAAAATTATTAGTAAATTATTATTTTATATATTTGTGATTATGATTTTTAGTCTGGATATCTGAAACGATTACTTGAGATTTTACTAAAATGCACTTTTCTATAAGTTATTGCTGCACTTTCTTCTAAGCTCATTAAAGAAACAGAGAAATTGACATTTATCATAAATATTTATAGTCAAATTTGAAAACACCTGCTTTGCATTGTTCTATTGTCAACTATCTAAAGTATATGGAAAAACACATATTGTACTGTATATCTTAGTTCCTTTATAAAATGTAAGAAATAAAAGAGAATGTCTTACCATTTCTATTTTGTAGACCATATCTTTGAGTGTGAAGGGGCCTGGCATACAGAGAATGGTACTGGTGGACCTGCCTGGTGTCATTAGTGTAAGTGCTTTTTTGTAACATTGGGTCCAGTCTGCCTCATTAAGCATTTCAATCCCTTAATGCATTTGTGTACTGCATTTCTTAAATGCACTCCATTTCTTAAATTTATTAAATTTAAGCATTGGTTTAAATTCAGCTGTTTAAAAGGAAATTATTTTTGTTGTGGTTACATGAATATGATTACATTTTGTTTCCAAGAACTAATTCTCTAAACGATAAGTATGAAAATAGTAAATTAACTTATTTAGCTTTTAAAGCAAAGAAACTGAAGAGAAGTGAAAGATATTGCAACAGGTTAGTTAACTTTGCCCCTGTTTTAAACCTGAGAACTTCTTATTTTATTTTAGACCGTGACCTCTGGCATGGCAGCTGACACAAAAGAAACCATTTTTAGCATAAGCAAGGCTTACATGCAGAATCCAAATGCCATCATTCTCTGTATTCAAGGTAAGATGTACTTGTGTTTCGCTTAAATTGCACTACCCATGTGTAAAACATACACTGAAAAAGATTACTTTGAAATTTAGCACCTTTTTCAAAACAAATGTGAGCAGGGTGAGATTTTCTTTGCCAGGAACATTATCTAGTACAATATTATCTAATTAATATACATTTATTTTTTTTAAATGAAATAATACATAGGTAGGCTTTCATATTTCTTCAGATGGGTTTAGAAGAAGCACTGTACTTTTGGTTTTGGGTGTAGGTGTTATTAATTGACTTATCTGACACATTAATCATAAATGACTTGCATTTGTACCCATTTACAGTATACCACTGAGCATTATACTGAAGTAATCAGTAGATGTCTTGTTTGTCTTGGGGAGACCCAATAAATAATGGAACAAACAACTTTCATGATACTAGTGTACAATGTTCTACTCCTCATTGCTGCCAAGAAGTTCCTTTGTTTCCAGTAAGAACACGGAAAAAGTACTTTTTTGACATATGAACATGGGATTATTCTTGCAAGTGTTCTTGTTACTCTGATCTTTAAGATGGTTCTGTGGATGCGGAGCGCAGCATTGTGACGGACCTGGTCAGTCAAATGGACCCTCAGGGGAAGAGAACTATATTTGTGCTGACTAAAGTGGACCTGGCGGAGAAGAACCTGGCCAGTCCCAGCAGGGTGAGACACTAAGGTTCTTTCAGGTAGTTTTAGGTGGCCATGCAAATCTGAGTCGTGTGGTTAAATTCAGTATTTGTTCCGAACCCTGTCTTACCTGTAGAGGGTACTGTTTCATTAAATATCTACAATTGTATAGTGTTGGTCAAATGCCTGCAGTTACTGTGCCTGTACTTATACCTTTTTAGGTATTTTGCAAGGATTGTATCAGAATAAATTATAAAAGATTCTGTGGGAAAAAAAACATTTTCAACTAATATTACTGTGTTTTTCCTTTATTTTCTACACCATCATTTATATCTTAAGTAGGGGGAACCTATAGATGCATGTATATAATGTAGAAACCAACATCGTGTTGTAAACTGTCAAGAAAATTTTGGCATTTAGTTTATTATGAAAAAAAAACGTGAATTTAGCTTAGTGAAGGAAAGTGAAGGCCTTAACAAGAGTGAGGTCTAAAATGAGGTTATATCTCCGACTGTAGGAAGCAGAGGGTCATGTAGATTGACTGATTGCCAAGAACCAGAATCATTTGCTTTGAAATTTTCGTGCATTACTTTTGTAGATGTGTGTGCAATGATGAATCAATCTCAGGATGATGAATCGAATCGTTTTCAGGGAAGGGATAAAAAGTTGCTATGTGGGTGTGATGCATCTCTTTAAATGGAAGATCAGTTAATTGACGTAATTAAATACAATATTATGAAAATTCATTTTCAGATTCAACAAATCGTTGAAGGAAAACTATTTCCTATGAAAGCTTTGGGCTATTTTGCTGTTGTGACTGGAAAAGGTAGGCCTTCACTCTTCTAATTCTGCTCTCCTTACTGTCCCCCAAGCCCGTCTACATTGTATGGGTGACAGGGCCTTTTCCTGTTATGCCCCCAAGCTCTAGAACTCTCTGCCCATGGATATCAGAGAGTCACCTTCTCTAAACTTCTTCAAATCCAGACTCAAAACCTTCTTCTTTAGAGTAGCCTTTACTTAACTGGTTCCGTTCTTTACCCCTCTGCTTTTCCCAGTACCACCATCCATGGTCTCCTCAGTATATTGAAATTGTGTTTTTATTTATTATTGTTCTCATTCTGTAAAGCGCTTTGAGAAGCCACCTTTAAAGGTGCTATATAAAACGATCACACCTGAAGAAGGCTCCACGGCCGAAACGTTGTGTTCTCTTTCTTCTTGTTTTCAGCATGGAATAAACCTATGACTTGTTCCTTTGCAGCCTGAACCTATATAAAATAAAGTTTATTATTATTATTATTATTATTATTATTATTATTATAACTGCCACAGCCCTTAAGATTATAACCTTGATGTGTCCATGATATATTGTTTTCTGGTTGCAAAATCGCAAGGGTACTTAATTGTTACCTCTTTTGAACAGGTAGTAGCAGTGAAAGTATTGACTCCATTAAAGATTATGAAGAAGACTTTTTCCAGAATTCCAGATTATTGAAGTAGGTTTTATATATTTAAATATTATTTCCAATTCATACCAGACTAGTACCTGCAGTACCTGTAGCAGTGTCTAAATGTTGTTTTTTCCTAAAAGGACAGGCATGCTGAAAGCTCATCAAGTGACTACAAAGAACTTGAGCCTGGCTGTGTCTGACTGCTTTTGGAAGATGGTCCGTGAGTCAGTCGAGCAACAGGCAGATGCATTTAAAGGTACTGAGAAGTAATCTCACTAGCGTCAGGATACAGGGAACAAGGCACAGGAAAGTTTATGAAAGGCAAAGCTGGCAAGCTGGCTGTTAAATCAAGGTCATAAGTCAATCTTTCTTGTAAGTCATACTATCATGTCACGAAGTGAAGGCTTATTGATCACATCTCGGGGAAAAAAAAAAGTTTTTATTTGCAGCTTCAGAAAGTAGTTGTTTCCCCCCATTTTTCTTCACTTCAGAGAACTGGCCATCTTTAGTGGTGAAGATGTGTCATGGCTGATTAGAAATAAGGAATACAGCTGGCCTGCAGCTTGAAAGTGGAACTTTTGTGTTTTCTGCTCCTGGTTTCCTGTTTCTCTTTAACAATTAAAGGGCTGCTAAACTATAGACAGCAGACAGGGGGTAGATTTATGATTCGCCACTGCTGCCTCCGTTTTCCATTGTGTTCCCTATTGATTGTTTTGCACATCAAAAGTTGAATGAAAACCTGCAGGGGACACAAATAACGAAGCAATTAATATAATATCCATTGTGGATGAAAAATGAGAGAACCGTAGCGCAAGACTGGTAATGGATCCCACTGTGTCGAGCCGTGTGGGAGAAATCAACAGTTTATACTTATTAGCGGAGCTCGCTGGCAAAGGCAGAGCGCTGTTTGAGGGAGCTTTTCAGCTTGTATTGATTAAGGCTTTGGCATGCTGCCATAGCTTCTCACCTCACGTCTTCTCGTATAAAGCTGTGTGAAACCTCGGTGCTACAGTAATTCTCATGAGAAAGAGTCTCAGCAGGGTCAGTCACAGGACTGGGTCACACTTTCACAGGCGGCATGAAATAAAGTAAGTCACCAGCACCCCTGAAGAGGCTGCAATTGCATACATGGTTCTAATAGAGTGTGAGATCTCCAGTAGAAGTAAGGGGGATATTGTTTTGACATTTAGCAAGGAGGCTGTCCTGTAATAAAGAGTGAAAGTGATTGTCCTTCACTTCCTGTCAGAGAAATAGTGTTCCCAGAATTTGTCTTCAGTTTGTACATTCTTTTCTGTGATGCGAACGAGGCTTTTATGTCTTGCGTTCGGGGGCAGACAACAATCACACAATGGTAATAATAGCATATTGTCCTTAGCAGGTGTCCATGGTGCTGCATTATAGTTTTAGCTAATCTGAAGCATGGTATGTGAAGCCTTAGTCCATTTCTTTTGAAAGCCCGTATTGCTGCTGAATCTTCAGACGCTTTACAGCCCTTTATTTCAGAATAAATTGAAGAAATCTCACTGAAATCTGTACAGAAATTCCTCTAATATGCTAAACTTTTTATAATCCCAGTACATTTTAACTACAGTACTAGCCTCTGTGAAAACCTAAGTATATGAAGGTAATATTTGACATTGGAATGCTTTTATGTTTTGTTTTATTGAAATATCTAGTCACAGATATGAAATTTGAATTGTTAAAAAGTGCAGTGCTTCCTTTGGGAGATTATTTTCACCTTTTCAGTTTGGTAATGAGGAAGACACAAAGTCTGCTCTTTATTGTGCCGGAGCATCTGATGTCATTGAGTCTTATCTATTTATGATTTTGCCGGGAGACGAAGTATTGATCCATGCGCTCACAATGTGTTTTTTCTTAGCATCACGCTTCAACCTGGAGACAGAGTGGAAGAACAATTACCCTCGACTGCGGGAACTTGACAGGGTAAACCCCAGAATGTCTTACAGAGTCGGTGTTCACAGTTAGTAAGACATGGGTGATTTTAGTAACCGAAGTTCATGAATTATTAAATGTCTGTATCCGAGTGTCTCATAAACGCAAAAGAATCTCTTGAATTTGCCAGCTCTTGCCTTTGAGAGACGTGATGGGTGTTACTCATTTATGTCGGTCAGTGTCGGAGCCTGGCAATGAGAATTGGGTTATAATATGGAAGGCCTAATTGGTTCTTTCAAAAGAGAAGAGAATATAGATCAAGATTTGATGATGTCATAAAAGGTCTACGATTTGTTTTATGTATTTCATACCGTGTGAGACTATGAAAAGTACATGTATTTCAGTTTTTTTTATAGGTGTTTTTGTAATCTATACTAAACACGTTTTGTCTCAAGGAGTTGAAAAGGCTACTATAAGCTCTTGCAGCTGTGTAAGTCATGTTGTATTGTAGACCTGTTCACTTTTCTATTTTTTTCACCCTAGAATGAACTCTTTGAAAAGGCCAAAAATGAAATCTTGGATGAAGTGATCAGCCTGAGTCAAGTTACACCAAAACATTGGCAAGTAATTTCGTTTTCTGAATAGTGTGTTAAAATGTTGGCACAAAATCTACTTTAAGAGAAAATAAAAACTTGTTTACAATGAACAACAAATATTTAAAAATTGCTAGGATTGGCTGTTAATCCAGTTTGTGATCTTCAGCATGTTCTCTTCTTACAAGCGTGTTGTTTTGATTGATTGTGTAACGCAAACAGTGTAGTCCAAGTGTGTTTTTTACTTGATCAGCCAGTTTTATATGCATCATTTCAGAGTACTTTAACTGAGATAAATTTTTTATGTATGATGTTGAATATGTATTTATTTTAGAATGTGAAGTAAAATAAGTAGAACAGTTGAGTTTAGTATTTGAAAGAATTGTATAATAAAAAAATAATTATCATAACCAAACAAAGCTGCCTGGTGGTTAAGTGAGCTTGCATGAGATTTATCAATGTAACCTGATCAATAAGATGATAAATTGCTTGTTGTGAGCTATTGTGTGCCAGCTCTGAGTGCTGTTTTTAGTTGGCTGTATTGGAGATGTGTATATTGATAAGAAGGAGCAGAACAAGGCCCTTTGAAACAATGAAATATGAGCATCATCCCATGATAAATGAGCAACCCTGTTGTATTTTTAACTCTAGGGAAGCGATTCTTCAGAAGAAGTTGTGGGAAAGGGTGTCCACTCACGTCATTGAGAACATCTACCTACCAGCTGCCCAGACCGTGAACTCTGGCACCTTCAACACCACTGTTGACATCAAACTCAAGCAGTGGACTGACAAGCAGCTGCCACATAAGGCATTGGAGGTAACTGCACTTTCATAGAAGACAGTCCCAGACTCTTAGAGATGGGTAGAAAATGGAGAATGAGACATAGTGATTAGTTAAAATAAGATGTGGCAATTTAAAAAACAAAGGTTGTGCTGTATACTATGTTAAGATTACGGTTTACAGTGGCATTCTTTCTCAACATTCGACGGGTGACTAAGCTTTGCACTCCCAGAATTACTCTTGGCTTGGTCAGATTTTGTGGCACTTGTTTTTTGTGGACAAGGGTCATTCTAGGTTAATTGCTGAGCAAAAGCTAAATATGATACCTCCCTGGAATTCAGATGCTGGAAAAGAGCCAATTGAAAGTAAATATTTTGAAAAACATTGCTCCTCCCAAACTACTGACTGGCTAGCTGACTTCTTTTTTTTTTCTTAGCAGTAGAAAGCGATAACCTCGTACCTTTCACATTTCTTCATGCAAGCATGGCCTTGTTTAAAAAACTGTTAGGATTGACACACATAAAAAGGATCCTAGTTTCCAAAGTATCAGTGTATGATAAACTAACCAAACTAAAACTAAATTCAAGTACAAGTTACTGCATTATACAGTTTCCAATTAGTTTGTTTGCTCTGTCTTGTACAGTTATTTCAGAATACATATTTTGTTTAATTTAGAATCTCAGAATCTTATTTTAAAGGAAAGGCAGCTCTTGTATCTATCTGTGGCTTCAGGTTTGGCAGAGTAAGCACTGTGTCAATATCTAGTTCCGTGACTTTCTCTGTTGTTTCTGCAGGTGGCCTGGGAGACCCTTCAGGAAGAGTTTGCCCGCTTCATGAGCGAGTACAAAGGCAAAGATCAGGATGACATTTTCGACAAGCTCAAGGAGGCTGTCAAAGACGAGAGCATTAAGCGGCACAAGTGGAATGAGCGAGCCGAGGATAGTCTGGTAAAATAACGCCTGTCTTCCGACACGTGTTGTGTCATGTGTGTAAGACTAGTGAGCTGCTGGACTGGAATTAATACTAGTTTTATGTTTTCAGCCTGCTGAGGTGAACCTTGTAGTTCTCTTTGTTGTGATTTCCTATTCATTAAAAATAAATGTGACTGTGCTTTGTGCCTTGCAGAGAGTTATCCAACACAACGCTTTGGAAGACCGGTCCATAACTGACAAACCACAGTGGGATGCAGCAATACAGTTCATGGAAGAGACTCTTCAGTCTCGTCTTAATGACAGTATGTTCTAATAAAGACAGCAGCACTTTAGTTCAGGGTTTCCTATCAGACTTTATAAGGGATTAAAAAAACAAGTTAACACTAAAACACATGTAAATACAACATTTACGTATGGAAGTAATGACTTGCTAATACACTTGCAATTTACTGCTAACTATTAAAGAGAGACGTTATCAGTAAAGATGCTTACCTGAGCTTAGGCTGAGAGCTATGATCAAGATGCCAGGGGTTTGAACCTGTGAAAAGCCACCATCTGACAGTGACTGGGATTCCCCAAGCACGAATGGGTTGGGATCCATCGGTCAGAGCTTGGCAAGCTTGCAGTGCAGTCAGTGAGGGCCCTGCATGTCTTACACTGGGCTACGTAGGCTATGGTGAGTTAAAAGATGAGTGGCTTGAAGGAGGGCGGTTTGGAGGAGTCTGCTACACTGCCTCATCCTCCTTTGTGTGAGGTCACGGAGTTCATAGCTGGGCCGCAAGACATAAAAAACACACAGTCGGCTATTCCAGATCTCATTGTCAGCAGATTTAATGGGGGATCCTTCAGCTTTTATTGTGAATTAAAATGTGTTTTATTTGTTATCTTCTTTTTGTCTTGTAGCTGAATCTGTAATCAAAGATATGGTGGGTCCAGACTGGAAGCAGAGATGGCTGTACTGGCAGAATCGCACACCAGAACAGGTCAGTACCTATTTTGGAACAAGTAAAGGTTTATTCCGTGCTGAAAAGAGAAGAAAAACACAACATTTCGGCTGGGAGCCTTCTTCAGGTGTGTGAGCCTTCTTCAGTTTCAGCATTTAATAAACCTTTACTTGTTCCTTTGCAGCCTGCATATGCTAATGCAGCTTCTTACCTGAACATCTTATATCCTTTTTTGCCAGGTCCCATGAGTTTTGATCAGTATTAAATTGCGTGTTCTTTCTGAAATTGAAATGCTAAGATGCCTTGTTAGTTAAGTCAAGTTCTAGTTTTCCGTCGATGTGAACCACCTGAGTTATCAGAGCCACAGTAAGATCATCCATGTGGAATTCTGGACAGAAGAATATAAAATCTATCTTATCCATCTAGCTTGGTTGGTGTTCAGTAGCTAATTGATTCAAGGATCTTATCCAGCTGTTACATGAAAAAAGCCAGGGTTTTTGCTTCAGCAAAATTGCAAACTACAGGACATCAATTTGAATGTTTGCCTTGTTGTAATACATTCAACAGAACATCTCTTTTCCATTTTTGACGGTAAACATTTTTTGCACTTTCTGATGGGTGCAGACTTCCATTTTTTTTTATTTCATCTGTAAAATGTTAACTGCTATATACAGTTAACATGTAGGAGCATTGCCTTTTATCTGTTGGATCTTGTAAAACTCTTCCCAAATCATGGCAATAGAAACTTAACTTGCCTGCAATTCAGTTCTGTATATTTTGCATCCCTCTTTACTTTTAACTTCTTGAAAATATGTGACTGTATGGTGATAAAAATGGTGATACAAATCTTGGTAAAGGCATTTACTTTTTGGCAGTAAATTATTCAGAATTCAAAGTACAAGTGAGTCAGCTTGTACTCTGAATACTATTTCAGCTCCTCATTAGCTGAAAGTACATGTTGAGATGAATAGTCTATATATCTGTGCTTCATTTCTGGGCTATGTCTTTTGCCAGCTATGACCAGGATTTCCCCTGTGGTCACAAATAGCTGGGTACTCCCAGCATTCACTGGGCTTGAATTGGCTTGACCACCTGTGACCTGGCCATATTATTAGCAAGAGGCCGATTGCTCTCTTGTTGTTGGTGTCACAATGAAGGTTTCACAATAAGGTGTTCAGACTTCTTACCTGTGCCATCGTGGCTCAGGGTTCATAGGACGAGGTCGAATCCATTGCCAGACTACAACTTTAAAATGTTTTTGTTGGATCCACTTGCAGCACGTTCGCAGTGAAACCAGAAATGAGCTGGAGAGGCTACTGAAAGTGAATGAGGACCATACAGCGTATCTGGCCAACGATGAGGTCACTACAGTGCGGAAAAACCTGGAAGCCAGAGGGGTGGAGGTGGACCCCATTTTGGTGAGTATCAATACTTAGACCAGTCAGACACTGACATACTGTATAAGTGTTGTTGGGCTAATTCAAATGTTACTGAGTTCAAGAATGTGCTGGTTGTATGTAGTATCATTCTTGTCATCTTATTTCTTGTATGTTTTAGATCTTGTTGTTTGTCTCCAAAACACTTCCTATAGCGTTTTGCAATTTATACTAATTCTTCAAATGAGTATTGTTTATTGGATTTATAATGCCTCTAGATACGTACTTATGGTTTCTGATTTACCAGAAGCTTGAAGACATTATTTGCCAAGTTAAACAAATTAATTGTTTTAAAATTGTTTTGCAGATGTATGTGTTAGTATTGTCTGTTTGTAATTTGGAATTATGAAGAGATATAAATATATATTTACTGTTCAGATAGTTGCAGATTGTCATTGCAAGTGAGATAATAATAGATCAAAATCCACTGACCACGCTAATTAAGTAAAATCAAGCACTAATGAACTTGTTAGAATTATGGCTTGTTTCCAAAAGACTTTCAGTTAATTAATCTGTTAGAAAATCCATTAATACCTTTTCATAGTTGTATGTACATGAAATACATCTTTGCTATTTTGTCATTTTCCTCTCCTAGAGTTTTATGTCTCTTTGTCTTGTTTTCTCCAGATAAAGGACACATGGCACCAGCTGTATCGACGCCACTTCCTGCACAAAGCACTGTCTCACTGCAACCTCTGTCGAAGAGGATTCTACTACTATCAGCGCCACTTTGAGGACTCTGAGGTTTGGAAGTCAATAATTGATCCATTTTTTCTGTCCAGTTATATTTTATGTTTTTGAGTCTCTTGGTCATTTCAGTGCTTTAATTGCTGTGTTCATGTTAGCCTTATGGGACTTCAGTTGGATGGACTTTTAGAACAACTACTGTAGATAATTAAACCAGATGCAGCTGTTGGTTTTGATCTTTAAATTTAATCTATTCTACTCAACCATTCTATGAAATTATTAAAATTCAACTCAAAGACAAGTGCATATTACTGTATATTTCTGCATTAAAAAAATGTAAATGTTATTATTTTTTAAAAAAACAGTCCAAAGCCATATTCATGAAGTGGAATAAAAGATAAGACTAAACAAAAGATGTAAAAGATAGAAGAACCAAGCACGCTGTATTTAGTATGCACTTTATGCTTACCTATGTGCTGTATGTGCTAGATTTGAATGGTCAAGGAAAGCTTTATAATCTGGTCTCAGTGTCTCATGCTTTGTTTTATTACTATTTTATAAAATACAAGGATATGCTCTTAGGACAGTGTGGACAGTTTCAGAGTTGCTTATCAGCTTTCACACGTGTGAGGAATTTCACACTCAGTTTTGCCAATATAATGCTATTTTAAATCCTGAAATTAATTAAAAGAGAACTGGTAAACCTGTGAAATGTTCTTAAAGATATTATACAGTTTGGATAAATATTCAGATTACTTTTAAGTGAATCTGCAAAATGTCTATTTTAAATTGGATGTGTACACCTTTGTTTCCATACATAGCACAAAATAATTCCAGTTATAAAAGGTGAAAATATAAAATGAAAAATAGGAGAAGAAAAAAATAAAAGCCCTACCAGCAGCAACATTCCACCAACAGGGCCAGATAGACACAACTAATTCTCTTTGCAGGAAGAGAGAAAAGCACTTTTGCCCCAACAAGACGATGGGGGGAAAAACAGCTGAAACCCCTGCCAACCCAAAACAATAAATCTTTCCTGTGTTTGTTGCAGCTGGAGTGCAATGATGTGGTCCTGTTCTGGCGGATCCAGAGAATGCTTGGAATTACAGCAAACACACTCAGACAGCAGCTTACAAACACTGAAGGTACACTGAGACGACTTCATCCTTGCTTAATGAAAGCTGGGTTAAACTGAGGTAGCTCTCTGTCAGAAATGAGATGTGCTCAGGTTTGCACATGCATAGCCTACACACATCTAGACTCTTTGTAAAGTATTTTTCAAGTGTTATTATGAAGCACTGAAAGGTGGAGTGCGCAGTGTTTTAGTTAGGGTAAAAAAAACGTAACCATGTCTCTGAAAGATTTGTTCATCTGAATTGTTCCTGTGCCTTTTTTCCAGGAGCTGGAGGTTTTATGCCAAGGCCAGCTGTGCCAAAAGGCCAATTATAAACTCTTGGACATATCCACTTTATTTTAATCCAGTCAGTGGGCTGAAGATTATTTGGAAAATGGATATTAAATGAAAAAGTTATGTTGCGTTCTGTGGAAGTTAAGGAGGAAGACATTTTAAATTTTTCTTTTTTCATGCTCAATGTCTGGATATGTTCTTAAAACACTATTCAAGTTAAGCGAGCTTTTTATTTATAGTTCATTTAATTCTCCCACAGGTTTTATCATGAGTAGAAACCTCAGAAAGCCCGACACCTGGTGATTTAGTACATATTACACTCAAGACCGTTTAACACGGATGCACTGATTCATATTTATGCTGTTTTTGTTCTTTATGAAGCCGAAGAGACTTCTGTTCTTAACAATGTATCACAGTGATTGGCTTCTTCCTTCTTGTTCTGATGCTTGTGGTGTCTTACCCTTTCACACCAAAATGTGACCCTAAGACCAAAGCAGCCCTCTCTTGAGTTCTCAGCACCCCTGGGTGATGAACATGTCTCTGCTCAGCTGCCACTATTCTGTTTCCTCAGTCCGCCGTCTGGAGAAGAACGTGAAGGAGGTGCTGGAGGACTTGGGGGAGAACAACGAGAAGAAGGTTCAGCTGATAACAGGCAGGAGGGTGCAGCTAGCAGAGGACCTCAGTGAGTACACATTGCTTTCCTCTGTTACCTTGGGGTGGCCTTCTGGAGGAGCTGGTGTCAGGTCAGGAAGCGCTTGGCTGGTAAACAGGTAAACAAGCCTTCTGCTTTATGACCTGAGGCTGCAGCTGCCTGTGACCTGGCAACTGAGTGTGTTGAGACAAACTGATTTTGGCAGCCAAGCAACGTGTTGAAAGCTGTAACGTGCACAGGAAAAATGAGGTTCTGTTATTAGGTGTACCACTGCTTGTTGCGTCATCGTGTCATAAAGTCTAACTGAGGATCCATTGGCTGGTATGTTTTGAATGTGCTTCACAGAAGGTTTTTTGGTTTCACACGCTTGGACCTCTGCACATATACAGCCTACACTCTAGAAACATGTCCTTTTTAGGTTATGGGTGGCACTCCTTTTCACTGGTGTTGAACCAGACAATCTAAAAAAATAATCTAAACCTCTTCCTGCTCACAAGGTGCTCCTCTCTGGCATAAGGTGCTGCGTTGTTTTTTGTCCAGAAGGGAGCGCTGTTAGTCACTATAAACAAAATCTGTAACCATTGTGGTATTTTTGTTTAGAGAAGCCAAAGCTGTATTATTTTTATGGTATTAGCGTACTCTAAACTAATATATCCAAAGATGAATAGAGTTTGCAGTTGCAGTTGTTCATTTTTTAATACAGTTAATACAGAAAAATACTTTAGAAATAATTATGTAAGACTGACTTTCATATATTTGTGTTTGAAAAATGTCTTACAATCTACTGCAGATTTTAATATTGTTTTCTTTCTGTCAAATTTAACTTTATAGCTAAAATTAAAGGCTTTTGACTTAACATTACTTTGAATACTAGAATCAGGTTAAACCCCAGATTTTAGAGACTTAATCCTACTATGAAAAAGAGGAGGTAACAAGGAGAAGTTCAGAAATCTGAAATATTACAATGACAGTAAAAAAGTAAATTTCAGGGGGAATCTTTAAAAAACATGGGATCAGTTTGGTACAGTGAGTCAGTCATATTGTGGCAGTGAATTATTGCCTTTTTATTGTATGTTGTATCAAGGAACAGAACAAATGAATTTTCCTCTCTGCAAAGTTTCTTCTCTCCTGTCTGGATTTAATTTTAATTTACAATTAATGTGAAAGAAGAGTGGTCTTTAGAATTGTTCTGCATGTCACATCAGTATCCCTGTATATTGTGTTAAACGGGCCATAAATTAATAGGACAATCTGTGCAATCTGTGAGTGTGGTAGACAAGTCTAGACTTGTGCCTCTGCTGTTCTTCAGTAAACTGATAACAGTAGTTCACTGTGCACGACTGCCACCTAAATTGGAGTATTCTTTCAGATGAAGACTCCCTATTTGCCTTCCTTTCCTTAGACATGACGTTCTGTGAACTTGGTCTAAGTTGAAATGTGTCTATTGAGAGCTAAAAATTCTTTGTAATTAAAAAAATCTTGCTAGCAACACAGTAGGTCATGTAAAAAAATCACAACTGGCCTTCCTTTGCATCAAGTATTGTCTGAGGCCATCAAGTATTGTCTGACCATTGTTAACTTCTAACAAAGTTTTGCAACTGTCGAAACTGTTAACTGTTGCATAAGGAATTGCCTGTGAAACATGAAACGTACACACTGGCACTGCTGTTGTTAAAAAAATAAACACACGCCAAAGGCAAATATTATGATCTAGGTTTTCATGAATGTTGTGTTGCAGCACTTTGAGACGCTAAATTGCTGTCAGGGTTTTGCTCATGGCAAGAAAGTAAGATATTAACTCATTATTTTAATTGAGGAAGCAGGGTGTTTCATGTTGAACATCTCTTTGGTGTCAGAGGCCATATAACCAGTAAGAAAAGCAATGCTACAGTTTGCAAAATTGTTTTAAATGAGAATAGCCCTCCCTAGATAGGGTGCTTTTTGTTGCTTGCACACACCTTTTGCTTTAATTAATAAATCACGTGCAAAGTACAAAAAAAGGGGACACAACACTTGGAATGATTTATTTCGGGAAAGTGCGTAGGATATAGTCTTGTTGAAAGACGGAATTTCCTCTGATGAAGGAGGAGGACAGTTGGGTGACTCACAGATATTAAATCAGCTCGCTGTTGTGTACACTTGCTGTCCAGACGGAATGAGTGGTAATGAAGATCCTTTCACAAGGATTCCTTTGTTAGTAGTGTTACTAATTTGAAGTTTAAAAATGTCCTCCAGAACCAAAAAACATCCAGAAGGTTTTTCCCTTCTTCGCGTTGATTTGGTTTTAACGGGATATACAGGCCTTTAACAAGACCCATACAAATACTGTGCAGCTGATAATTGGTGTTAGAAAAACAAGTGACACTGGGAACGTGGCTTGAAGGAACAAATGAAGCATTTTGAGAGGAGCCATGATATTGAATCTGAGCACTGCTAAGTGCTTAGCTGTAAATAATAATCAGTAGCTTGGGGAGCTCTGCTGCCCTGGTGTGATTTGTTGTTGTAAAATAAGAAATCCCAGTTGTCCAGTGGCTGCCCTCCATGTTGTTGAGAAACCGTGTTTCCTCCACATGTTCTCCGAGAGGCGATGTGCTGCTAGAAAAGACGCTGCACTTGCATGGCTTATTCTCCCTTTACGGAGGCTTTGCAAACAGCAGCATCAGAGTTGAGAAAGTAGAGAAAAAAATAAAGAAGGGGGATGCATGAGTAACTGTGGCATTAGAAAGCGTTGTTTGGCCCGTTCTCAACTATAAGCTGTTCATCTTCCTGTCAGTTTCAGAAAGGGAGCTTTTTTTTTTTTTGCTGTTACAGATACGGCTTTTTAAAATCAGGGTATTTAGAATAACACATTTTCCTAAAGTCGAAAACTTTGTCTTTGAACTGTGAAAAACTTTATAACGGGAAGAGCGGGTCACATTTAACTCTTGGAAGGAGTTTTATTTTTGATTCTTTCTTGTGTTGACCTGTTAAAGCAACCTTAATAAAACACTGATGAGGATGCACCAGATGTAATTAGATTAGATGTTAGACGTAAGTGTGTAATTTGTGAGAAGTGGTGATTGGCTCTTTTTTTGTGAGTACAAGCCATGACCATGACATTTCTAAAGCTTGGCTTTTCAGATGTTTTTGTTCGGAGGAGGTGATTGTTTTAAAAAATTTTTAAAAAACTGAAGAATAAGCCTTGTTGAAGCTCTTTTCTGCTTGTGTATTGCTGAAATATACTTGTGTATGCATATCAAGGTCTGTTGCTAACAATGTACCTGTACTTTAACACAGTCTACAACAGAAATAAAATCAGTATCGTATATGAACAAATGAAAGGCATGCTGTTCCAGATAGTTTTTTAAGTATTAAGTTCCATATTTCTAAGTTCATTTGAGGTAATTTAATTTGACAGCGGTGGTATTTCTATGTTGAACACAGGTGCTGCACCCTGGTTTAACCATTTACCTGCATCAGTAATATTTTTTCGGTACAATGCCATATATGGGAAGGGAACACACTGCTCAGTCTCCTCAGTCATTCTGTGTGTGCAGTGCTGCAATCCTGTCTGTATATTACCTGACATAAAAGCAGACTGTGTCCTTCCTGCAGTCAAAAGGTCTTCTTGGTACCTCAGACACTGCCAAAGCAAACAAAGGCATATCAGCTGTCAACTGATGTTTGAAAAGCTTATTTAACTTCCTCCATTTTTTTAGGTTTTCATAGTATTCTAATTAAAAAAAAGCAACAAAGCTTAAAGAAAAACCAACAAGCGCGAATGTTTCCTTGGGTCTTCTTCAAAGCAGAGGAATTCCTGGGCTTGCCTGGCCTTGCAGCCTTCCTGCACAAGGTGGCAATGTGTTCCGGGCTCACTGGGGCTTTGATGTTGGATTAGAGAGCGTCTGCAGCAGCACGCCTGTCCTCCTGCCTCTGTTTGCTGTTTGCCTCTGCGTGATGCCTTCACATCACCCAGGCAGCAGGTGGCTGCTTTCTCAGAGTTTCCCAGGTTGCCAGACGCAATACTGTACATGCCCTAGCTTGCTTCCCCCTTCACTGTGCATGTAAGTGGAGAGATTGGTAAATATTGGTGTGTTCTAGGTGTATTATTAAGTCTGATATTAAGACCAATTAAATTATTCAGAACAATTTTAATTGTGTTTAATAGTCAACAGATTTACTTTGAAAGAGCAATCTTTTGAAATGGTAACTGTATGGTGAGATTGTATATTTCACTAAGCAATTTAATAATTGGCAATTTTAAAATAACCCCAGTACCCTAATTATAAACCTGATTAACAGAATACACAGCAGGGCTCATCTCTGTGAGAAGTTTTGGTGTAAGTACCGTGCTTTGGAGCTAAACAGCAGCTGGAGCAGATATTGAGATTTTCTCCTAGGCAAAAAGATAATCTGTGGTTTGAGAATATAATAAGGAATTCCTCTGCTTTTGGAGGCTGCTCACAGAATAGAAAAAAAAATGGGGTTTAGATATTTTTGTGTTTCTGTGTTCATTCTGAAGGCAATCAAATTTACAGAATCTAGGCAAAATATAATCTTGCAGTTAAAATAAAAGCTAGGATGAGCAAAATGATAATCTATACCATAAACGTATAATGGTGATTTTTTAGAATTTGTCAGATTCTTAATATTGTGTTTGTTGGAGATTATAAAGGAGTGAATGCTGCGTAGAGAAAATTCTTAGTGCTCTGCCCACACTGCAAGACTGAACAGGGAAGATACCGTTGCTTTGGAGGCAGGGGGGTCTTAACTCAGGGGCTATTAAATTCTCCTCACTGGGTTGTCATCGGTACGTTTTCCGTTTTTGTGTTTGGAGTAAGAAGAGAAGGAGAAAAGATAAAAGAAAAAAACAGTCCTGTGAGCCCTTTGGCATGTCGGGGTAACAGAGGGTTGGAAAGCAAAGACCTTAATAAGACCGCTGGTATGTGTCTACCGAGGGAGAAGAGGTGTGACCTGGGGTCATTCTGTCAGCACAACAGGCTGAGAGAGCTCCCACCTGCGCAGGTGTCAGTAACTGAACCAGGGCTCAC